GAATAAGAGCTTGCAAAAAAAAAATTACTAAAAAAAAAAGATAATAAACCTGGGAAGAAAGACGGCAAAACTAGATGTATTTACATTTTACGCCTGACAAATTTAACTATCCTTAAAATCTGGCATCACTTGCTTATGAATGTTTTTAAAACCACGCGCGTGGTTAATCGTGTTATCGATAGCACGATGGGTCATAAAGTGTCTACCATGACTACAAGCTGAAATTTTTTTATTTTGTCACAGCTTTTTCCGGTGTTTAATATTTCTTATAAGAATGCACTATTAATAAAAACATTTCATTTAAATACAGGTATTTAATTAATAAATATACAAATAATCTTTTTTTCTTGTTCGTGCTGTGACGAAAAACTTGGACACAATGCCATCACTAGTCGAAAGTGCCATCTCTACGTCCTCCCGACCAGCTGTTCAATTTTTTGTTGACGTTGTATTTGGAAGCGTAGCGTCTCTTACCACCGTTTAAGTTTAGCATAAGTTATTAAGGAGATCGATCGCTATGTCGGCGGTGGCCTACGACTCCCTGCTGTCCACGACGGCGGTGATCAGCACCGTCTTCCAGTTCCTCTCCGGCGCGTAAGTTGTCGAACTCCCGAAATCGTTGGAACTGCCATTATCCTAAGTAACTACAAATGTTTGCTTTACTTGCAGCATGATATGCCGAAAGTACATACAGAAGAAAAGCACGGGTGACTCTTCCGGAGTTCCCTTCATATGCGGCTTCTTATCGTGAGTAGAAAGAAACTGCCAAGTCGGCACTATTGAGATAAATTCGAATTGGTCGCGGTTGTCGAGACGATTTGGTTGGGGCTTTATGGGGTAAGCCATATAAAAAGGCGAAGGTTTGTCAAAAAATAAGAAATGGTGAAAGCTCGTTACACATATTATTTGCCTATTTATAATTTGATAACGAGCTCATCAATAATCAATTTTGATCTTAAGTAAATCCTTTATATTTAAGTTTCATTTAAAACCTCCCAGATTCAGATTCCAAAACCATTAAATAAATTATTAGAAATAGCACCGCAACTATAACGAATACTTTAAAATTAATACAGTATCAGTGCTAGATATAAAAAAGTAGGTCTCAAACCTATAAACGTTCGGAAACAGAAAGCTGAAAATCGAATTTTAAAATTGTAACTAACCAGAAAGTTCCCAGAAATAGACAGCAAGCATAGTTAATCCCTGCACCACCTTAATATTCTCAGTAATTGTGGGAATTTTGACTGCTTGGTTGGCAATTTACCCTTGCTTTTTGCGATTACAATATTAAATGAATTGAACTTTATTTGAACAGGTGCAGCTTTTGGTTGCGCTATGGAGTACTAACCAACGAGCAGAGCGTTGTGCTAGTCAACATCATTGGGTCGACTCTTTTTCTGGTCTACACGCTGATATACTATGTGTTCACCGTCAACAAACGTGCCTGTGTCAAGCAGTTCGGATTCTCTTTGACCGTACTGGTGGTGGTCATTATTTTCACCAATCGGCTGGAAGATCAGCGCGATCGAATGATACACGTCACAGGTATGAGCACGTCTCTCAAGCTATTTAACCAAAGTCAGGTTTGCAACCTTCCGAAATATATATATTTTTATATATTTTCAGGAATCGTCTGCTGCATCGTGACCGTGTGTTTCTTCGCCGCCCCGCTGGCTAGTTTGCTGCATGTGATACGGGCGAAGAACTCGGAGAGCCTGCCCCTGCCCCTGATAGCCACGTCCTTTTTGGTCAGTCTGCAGTGGCTAATCTACGGCATACTGATATCGGACTCGTTCATCCAGGTGACCCACTTCCCACCGCTGGCCAAACAGCGAATTACTGACGGTGGCAATTGTTTGCTTTGCTTTTCAGATACCCAACTTTCTGGGCTGCATACTGTCGCTGCTGCAGTTGGGCCTGTTTGTCCTGTACCCGCCGCGTAGTTACTCCGGCCATGGCTACAAGCTGGTCGAACAGGCGGTGCCGTTTTAGGCAACTGATTGGTCACAGCCACGCATTTCGCTTTGGCATCCGAGCGTTTCGCATACAGGATTTATATTTTAGATTGCTTAGACGCCAAGCTTATTTACTATAGACATACGTAATAGTAAGCCTTCATTTATTGTAAAATATTTATTAAACCCGGAAGATTTGCCTCGAGAATGCTACTACTTACGTTGCCTTGCTGTTCGGCGGCGCCCATTTAGTTGTATGCTCTGGAATCTGTATGTTAGATGAGGGTATACACAGAAAATTATTTAGTGGCCGAAACACTTGTTAATTAGATCTGATCGCGGATAAACACAAAGCTCCGAATTTGTTTCGGCGAGGTCTGAACAGATTGCGAGCGGATTGCTGACTGGGAGTAATAATATGTGAACCCAATGCACTTTGCTGGGCTGCGGTCAATGGTATCGATAAGCTGATATGCTGATATTCCGGGCCATAAACTGGTAAATTAAGCGACCGTTGATTTAATGAAAGTGTTCGATGGCTGGGGGTCGGGGTGTAATCAATGAAAACGCCTTGTTTTAATTCAATAATAGTCCTTATCGGAATGCGTGGAATTAACCAGAAAACATGCACCAGATAAAGCGGTAATCTTTATTTGTTCACCAAAAAACTTCCAGCATCGATAAGGTGTTTTTAGGGGGCGGAACTGATTATCAGGATCATAAATATTTTGTTTAACGAAATTCAATTTCAAACTGGACAGACGGTTAGCGAATAATGGTTTACCAACACTGGCTCGCGGGATGAACTCGTGGTATTTTCCCTGCACTGCCACACTGCTAAGTCTTAGATTTTGTTTTGTGAATCATTGTTTTTCCTTTAGACCGTATTTGACCCAAAATCAGGATGCAGGATCAGAGTCCCGAGCTGTACGAGGAGGTGAAGCTTTTCCGCAACGCCCGCGAACGCGAGAGGTACGACAACATGGCCGATCTGTACGCAATCATCAACACCATCCAGCAGCTGGAGAAGGCCTACATACGCGATTGCATTACGCCGCAGGAATACACGGCCGCCTGCTCCAAGTACCTGGTGCAGTACAAGGTGGCGTTCAAGCAGGTGCAGTGCGACGAGTTTCCCTCGGTGGAGACGTTCGTCAAGAAGTTCCGGCTGGACTGCCCGGCGGCGCTGGAGCGGATTCGCGAGGACCGACCCATCACCATTCGCGACGACAAGGGCAACACCTCCAAGTGCATCGCCGAGATCGTATCGCTGTTCATCACCATCATGGACAAGTTGCGCCTGCAGATCAACACAATGGACGCCCTGCAGCCGGACGTTAAGGACCTTGCGGATAACATGAACCGACTGTCCCTCATACCGGAGGACTTCGATGCCAAGCTGAAGGTGGAGAAGTGGCTGGGCAGCCTGAACGAGATGCAAGCCTCAGACGAACTGAGCGAAGGTCAAGTTCGTCAGTTCCTCTTCGACCTGGAATCGGCGTACGCGGACTTTAACAAGCTTCTGCACAGCCAGTAGCGGCCCCTTTCTCATTGTTTACATGTATCTTTAAATCTATATAGCATATTCACAATTAAACAAGTTTTATATATACCTTAACCGAAGGCATGCATTTTGTTTAAAAGAGAATTAACCTTTTAAACCAATTCCTATATGTTTAATGTGATCTCTAGAGGTGTTTGCTGCGTAATCAATCAAAGTGCTATATTTTAGACCAGGCAAACATAAAATGTATCCTTTGTATTCTATATTTAATGGGTAATCAAAATAAGTAGTTTTATTTTAGGTAAAATCTGTGTTACCTTAGTCCCGTACGCATTCTTCTGCTGTAGATAGTCCAATGCACTCTTAAAGACAGACAGCTTTTTTGACACCGAATTTGTAAGACAAATCTTCAAAAGTTCATATTTTTGATTAACGCTAAAGTATTGTTTAGTTCATAAGCTCGCGCCTGCTTTCCAGTGCAAACTAAAAGTGTATTTGTTTGAAGATATCGCTTTTTCTAATCAATTTTGTTTTCGCTATCATGTTTGGCAATCCACTCTGCTCAACAAATTTACGGATTCATAGAAATCGCGCGGTTTCTTGTTGAAAAAGTTTCAGAATGGTTTTATCATCGCTCCCATTTTTAAATTGTTTCCGATTTAAATGTTGTGCAGCGATCAAAAGAAATAATAATGAAATGGCCCGGTGAATATGGGGGATGAGGCATAATTTCCAGTTCAAGTCCTACATTTTAGCCAGGGTCCGTTTTGCAACATGTGATGGAAAATAACTCCAATTCGTTTTTCCTCGATTCTTTCCTCCATTTTGTCCAATCACTGACAATACTTTACGTCGACCTCAAAATAGATCACGTCCCGGATATATGTAACATCAAAAGCATGGCAGTATCTTCATCGGATGCATCCACCTTTTGATACCGAATCCGCCCCTAAGAGTGCCTGTTCCCATGTTCATTTATTGTACAGAATCCATTTTCCATCACCAGATCCAAAGTTTCGATTGTGATCCGTCAAAGCAAAAAATTAGTTTTCTTATACGGTCCACTTTGCTTTTCTACTCAACTGATGCGGCACCCATGTACCTTCAAGGTGTACCAAACCTCTTTTAAACGGCAAAACGCAGTTAATTTAAGTGTTATAAAATATACCCTGAATTCCTTTGATCAGATTGCTTTTCCAACTCGACAATTTACAGCTCTGGTTCCATGAGCTCATGATGTTTTTGATCGGGTCAACATCGTAAAAAGTTTGGCACTGAGCTCGACCTGTTTTGTCAATGGACTCCCCTCTTCGAGTGTTGGGCTTAACATCTTCCAGATCTCTACAGCGGTACAGGATCAGTACAGACTTATTCTCAAGCACTCGAAAACGAAGTTTGTTTTACAAAAATAACTTTTTTTTACTTACTAGGCTTTAAAATATTTTGCCTCAAAGAAAAAAAATAAACTCCTAAATTGATTTCAAACGCGTCCTTCATTTCACCAAACATTCCAACCGATTTAAGTAAAAACGACACGGTTTTTCCCTTTTTTTGCATTTTGTTTGGATTTAATCGTATCTTCTTTTTTGTATTTAGTTTAAATATTAAGGTTATAATTATACATATAAGTTTAAACCGATTACAATAATTAATTTTTGTTTGTTTTTTTTATTTTCTCATTCACGTTATGTTTGTGGTTTTGTTTTCTTTAATATATATAATTGTATTTTTAATTTACTGTTCTGTTTCTTCCAGTTTCTCTTACGCTCTTAAATCTGTTAAATCGTTTTACGCCTTTAATAATTAATAATTGTTACTCTTTATCTTTGTAAATTTATTTGTATGCAATGTGAAAATGGTACTTGGTATATTTATGCGGATGTTGCTGTATGTTTTGTTGTATTTGTTTCATTGTGGGAGTGTGTGGTTGGTCTTAGGAGTCGCCTCCTGCAACCTGAAACACCTTCATGCTGTGTTTTTATGCGAGTGTGGTGTGTGTTTTGTTTAGTGGCTGAGGGGAGGGAGGGAGGCGTGGTCAGGGCGCTGCTGGGCGGCGCCTTTACAGTGCGTTCGTAGTAAAAACGTTTCTTATTAATTAAAGTATGATCGCTTATCTTCGTATATTAGATAATCCTCCTCCGACGCTGGCGAGGATTTCTCGCTCCCCGCCTCGTCGGCGAGTGCTTGTTGGTGTGGTGGCGGCTGTGGTTGCTGCTGTTGCGGTTGCTCCTTGACGAGCATCAGTAACTGGGCGGGAATACCCGGAATTGCCGATGTCGCCGTCACTATTGCTGCTGATGGCGTGGTGGTGGCATCTATGGTCGTTGTTGTGGGGCTGGCTGCTATTGTGGTCACTATCGTGTTGGTGGCGTGTGTGATGGGCAGCGCTCGGGGATTGCTGGCACTGCTCTTGCTGTAAATGTGGTGAATGGGTGTGGTGGTTGTGGTGCTGCTGCTGCTACTGCTGCGAAGGCTATAGAAGTCGCTCGCTCGGGCGATCTGCAGGGGCCGCCAGATCGTGTTCTCCGGAAGCTAGTTCTGTCCGGTCCAGTACGAGGGCGAGTAACCTTGCTTGCCAGCAGACTTTGACTGGCTGGTCGACTGCTGACGCTGTCCGGCACTGTTCGAGTCCTGCAACAGATACGGGAGGGGATCAGTAAGCATGTCAAACGAAACGTGGATTGATTGATGCTGCCGCTCTCCCAAGCAGAATATTCCGCTTCTTTCGGACTCCACTCGGCCATCCATACACAAATGTGGGTTAACATATAGAGCACACGCAGTTATAAATACACATATTCGCTGATTATATACACGGCAGATTTAAAGTATAGTATAGGCACATGAATGGATATGCTTCAGAAACAGCATGACCCCTTTGGCAAACGATTCCTTCTTTTCGGCGCCGCTTCTGTGGGATTCATGCAACTAGAGACTAGATGATATAAAACAAGATGTGATGAGAAAGATTACGTGGGGGTGAGGCATGCGTGGGTGGGTTAACATGTGCAATTCACCAAGAATTAAGCAACTTTTACACGTGATTACAACAAAGGAACTTACCCGGCGGGATGAGCTATGAATCCTGCCGTCCATCTAATTGTTGTCCCATAAAAAAATCAAAAGAAATTATAAAGAAAAGTCAAACAATAGAACAGTTTCATGCATTTCACAATTCTCGCTCTCTCACTACCGACGAATAAACTATTAAATTCCGAATTCAGCCAACTAACTTCCCCAGGAGAACTATATTCTCCTACTGGGGCAGATGTTCCGAAACAATATCAAAAAAAGAAAAATGCATGAAATGTAATTTGTTAGTAACGATCACAGGTGAAAAAGAAAAAGGTTTTAATGAAGGACATAAATAAGAATACTTTAGGTGTCTTGCACAAGAGAAGTGCATAAGTGATATGTGATTAATGGTGTACAAAATAGGTTTAGTTAGTGTTCATGTGCTGTTAGATACTTAAACAATGGGTTATGTAAAAAATATACAAATACATGCTGGTCAAAGTTTAACAAAATCAGCTTCAAAGCTGCAAAGAAAAAACCGAAGTTCATGATATGTGCATGTTTTGTAGTTAGATATATGTAAGTGTGGGTGTAAGCGCATTTAAAAGACATAAACCAAAACATAAACGCTGTCAACGAAAGTGAAACGGTGCAAACTGAAATTTGTGTGTGAGGTAGGACGAGATGAGTTTCCCTAAGCACTTCATCAGTCGGCAAAGAAGGATATACCGCTGACGTCGTCTTGATAGCTGTCGATATTCTGCTCAAAGTTATTACAATGGGGATCGACACTTTGATCCTGACACTGGTCAGGATGGTCGTCTTGCCAGATCTGATATGTTACTTGCGGACCACTCTCATGGATGAGGACATGGCTGTCCTCCCCTTCGCCTACAACAACCTGGAGTGGTAATTCTGAATGTACCTGATGGATGGGTTGGTGGATCATATTGTGGTGTCCGGCCGCTGGCATCGGCAAGTACATGCCGTACGGCTGGGCCGAGGTGCCACCAGCCGTCTGCGTGTTGGGCATGTTAAACGGCGGCGGAGTGCCCGAGTGGAAACTCTGCTTTTCGTACGACTGTAAAGAAAACGTTCAATGACCATTTGTAGACAAGTCGAGAAACTTTGTTTTAACCAGGGCTGTGAATTCTTGTCGTTGTATTGCTTTAGAAAAGACAATCAGATGATTGGCTTAATCCAATGACGTAATTAAGAGCACTCTTTGTTTAAATGTTTTAGTTCTGAATGGGTCTGGAGATCCCCTCTCGTGGTCCACAGCCCTGCTTATAACCATACGTACATTAACCTTGTTTAGCGCCACATGTCCCTTCCCGTACATAGAAGAGGTCAGATCGGATCCAGTGCCTGCCTGCGACTGGTTGGACACCGCCTGCGTTTTGCTCTGCTGGTTCACGCTCGACGAGTAGCCGCCCTTGCTGTAATCCTGCGTGGTCTGCGAAAGGGTGTCATAGCTGGTCGAGCCGTAGCCCGCGCTGTACGAAGGCTTCGGGAACTGTTGACCGGAGGCAGTGTTGGCTGCCGGTATTTGCTGCTGTTAAATAAAATTCGACAATATTAGGGGCTATGATACACTTTGATCGAAATTTTTTAAGCTCACTGGATAAATGGCAGGCGTGCCATATTGGAAACTACCGGGCATCACATTGCCGCCATAGAAGTAGGCATAAGGAACATTCAGCATGGGCGCACTTGAGCCCGCCTGTTGCGACATTGTGCTGGAGACCTAAAGAAATTAACACGGTTAACACTGTCCAGGATCGTTAAAGTTTCAAACTCACATTGCCAACCGGACTGGAGTTATTGTCAGTGCGGGCAAAGCGACCGTCATTCATTGCCGAATACGTCACCGAGCCGAGGTTGTCACGTCCAGCTCCTAAACTGGCTGGCGGATAGTTCAGATCGTAATATCCCTGCTGCAAACGAGAATATTCACATTATGTTGCCATCAACGGAGCAGATCGAGTGTGTTATAATGGCAGTGAAGATGACGGATGCCACTTTGTCAGACTATAGGCTTGGAAAAACTCAAAGCGTTCTGCATGGTCTGACAAAGCTGCAGCCGATTACAAACGAAATGAAACATTATGATTTAAAATGCAATAAATTTATACACAAGTCAGAATATGAAAGGTTAAAGGTAAAAAAAAAATAAATAAAATGGTTAGGAAATCGAAGAATGTGGGTGAGTCAAGAGCACAGATTCGGGAAAGGGTTTGATAGTTATTAGGTAAGAAATTAGAAATTAAAATAAATGTATTTTTTTCCAAAACTGTTAAAACAGTTAAATTATAACTCTTAATAAAAAGGTACTTATATTTTATTTACGATTTTAAAATTCGATTATTGAACCAAAGCTTTTGTATTCGATTTTAAATGGTTTTGCATACTTATTTTTCAACAAAAACTAAAATTTTGATAGAATAGAGAAGTAGGATTAGTTGTTGGTTAATTTGGAGTGTAAAGCAGAGCCTGGAGGATAAGCAATACATATGGATAGTTTTTTGATGATGATGATAATGCCAGGAATGTGGGATCTGGATGGAAACGGAAGCGGATGGTTTAACGAAATTAAAGTGCAAGGTGGCGAAAGAAAGTGTCAGCTTATTTACACAATCACACACACACACAAACAGACATGTAGGAGGTGGTTTTAAGGACTTGATCACAGACATCGCGGTAATGTTATTATGTACAATGCACGCTGAGAAACGGTTAAAAGTGGAAGGCCGCAACGTCAACGAGCCCGGATCCGGAACAACGATCTCAATCAGCAGCGGGAGGCGAGCTGGGATGCGCTGAGCAGTTGTCGTATGCGTTTTAATGGAATTAGGACTTGACTAATGCGAAAACGTTGTAGCGAACGTTATGGGAGGATATTGATACGTTTACTGATTGATTAGAGACGGTTCGATTGATTGGTCGGTTGCATTTTGTAGTTGTTGGTTTGGTATTTGCTTTTGCTTTTCTCCATGAACTCACCACATGTGGCACTCTCTGTTGCATCATTTGCAATTCCTCGTAGGAATACACTGGTTGCTGATAGTATGGCAATCCAGTCTGAATATATTGACTAACCATTTGGATGTTGGTGGGCACCAAGCCGCTGCCGCTGCCACCACCACTACCAGCACCACCAGCACCCGATGCGCCGCCCACGCCGCCGGTGCTCGCTCCCGCACCTGGTCCGCCGGCGTTGCCCGCCGCCGTGGCAACACTGCCACCGCTGCCGCTGCTATTGCTGCTGCTGCTGTTCTTGTTGGTCAGCGAGGCCAGCACCGCAGCGGTGGTTCCTGTGGCCGTCTGGGCAACGGCAGCTGCTCCCACCGAGCTGGCGCTGCTGCTGTTGTTGTTCACATTCACACCGACGCTGGCCGCGCTGCCACCGGCCACGCCGACTCCACTACTTACGCCGCTCTGGCTGACGCCTCCGCCCACGCCGGCCACGTTGCCGCTCGCAACGCCCGCCGTCACATTGCTGACCGAGCTGCTGCCGCTCACATTATCTGGAGAGATCGGAGAAATATGAGATTACTTGTTGATACACTATTAGAGAGGCTTAGAAGAGTGACTACCTAATATCTATGAGAAATCGAAATCTATAGTCTGTCTAAAACATTCGTACTAATAATTCAGAGATCTCTAGTTACTGATTATGGGATTTTGAGGATAAAGGAAACGAAACATAGCTAACAAAAAAAGTGTTAATTAGGTGACAATAAGAAAACACTTCAAAAAAATTCCAATGGAGAGCTGATAAGAATTCGTTTCTAGAAGTTTGTGATATTTGCTTTTTCTTAGAAAAACTTTTAGATTGGCCAGCATAATACTTCAGAGAATTTAAATATGCGATCCCCTGATACTGAAACTTATGCCTAGCGACTTAGTGAGTTGCTTTACTCAGTCAAGGCTGATTGCGGTCAGCAACATAATATTTAAATTCCCAAGCTACGTGCTTAATTCAACAGGAGAACAAATGCTGATCGAAGTATTTTGACTCTGTATATTTCTATTAATGAATCATTAGGCGTGACAAAGGTGTTTACTCTTTTGGGTCTCATTTATGTTAAATCCACGATTACTTACTGTTTGAAACGACCGCCTGGTTAGCACCTGCCTGTCCGCTCACCGCACCGCCGTTGCCTGTGCTTCCGCTGCTGCTGCTCACGCCGCTGCTGGTGGAGACACTGAAAGGCCAATGAGATCAACGTTTAGTACTACTGGGATGCGCTTTCGCAGTGACATGCACCAGGGGGTTGGGTTAGTCCGAAACTGGGGTGAAGCAGAGCATGCAGAGCGGGTGGCTTTGCACTTACCTGTCGTAGTGCGCGGCGCTGCTGGCCGAGGTCGCATCCTTGAGCTTGGCGCTGGCACTGAAATTCGCGTACTGCGAGGACGCGTTGCTCGCACTGCCAGCGAACCTGAACGTGCAAGAAGCCGCAATTAACCACAAATCAAGAAATTGGGGGAGGACAACGGGCAAACCCCAGGGAAATTTGGGTAGTGGGTCCGGAATCGTCGCATTTGGTACTTACCCGCTGCTGTTGGACAGTCCAGTGTTGCCATAAACACTCTGGCTTGACTGGTAAGCACTTTGTGGTGTCGAGTATCCGGATGTGAGGTAGGCAGAGCTCGCATTGCCGCTGTTAAGTGCGGAGTACGATTGCGGGTTGGGTGGTTTTTGGTTTTGTTTGGGGACATGAGCGAACATTAAACGTGTTAGGAGAAAAGAGAAACAGTAAAAAAATGAGGATTAGCTTCCTTTCGGATGGTGCAGATTGTTAGCCAGAACTTGCATACAAAAAACACAAATAAACGTAAATGAAATGTTAATTTGGTTAGACGAAGGTAGTACCCTCACGGAATTGAGTTTTTAGTTCCTTGTAGTTGTTTAATAAAAGTGCTTTAATATATGCTGAGTAATGATTAATTGATTAACATGACTTCAAGTCATGTTTCTTTGAATGAAGTGTTACAAGCTTGCGCAAGGCCTTCAGAAACAAAATATTTAAAAGCTATATATATATATATATATATATATAAAAGAAAGTAGATTTTGTCAAAATTGTTTAAAATTATTATGCCACATTCATTAGAACAAGAAACTTTCAAAGCATGTTTTTGATTCGTTGAAATTAAAGAGTTAACAGTTTTGTACCTTAAGAAAGGTTGATATAAAAAGAGAATAAAACCAATGCTATTCCGCAATATGAAATATCCCCTCTTTAAGCACAAATCTAAAAATTAAACGCTCTGCAGGGGTAGGCCAAAAACTGAAACAAACCAATAAAATATCAGGCGGACCTAGCATACCTAGTGCTGTTTTGGCTGCTGCTGCCTCCGACCGGAATGTTTTGCGTCGCCGCGCCTCCGCCACCCGCTACCGCACCTGTACCGCTCTGTGCTCCGGTGCCAGCCTGCTGCTGGTAGGAACTGGGCTGGTACGAGCCGTATCCCTGCTGCTGGTAACTGCTCGCCACCGAGCTCTGCACATTTGCGTAGGTGGAGCTGCTATAGCCGCCGGGCGCCGTCGTCGGGTAGCCGCTGGCCGTCTTGCCCGCTCCACTGCTTTGGTATGCGTTCTGGTAGGCGTTACCACTGCCGGCCGTCTGTCCGTAAGGATCGCTCTTGGCCAGCTGATCGAGCGCCGTAGTGGCATTGACCGCCGAGCTAACGCCCTGTTGCTGCTGCTGCGCCGTCGAGCGGCTCGTATAGCCCGCCGCGCTTAAGGCATCGCTCTGTAAATGCGGAAATGTAATATATAAATAACTTAGCAAAAACAACACGAGTTTATGATTTTTTTTGTTTTAAGTGTATAGGATTAGGTACTCACGATCTGAGAACTCTGCAGACCCGCCGCAAGCGTCGCCTGCTGTTGCTGCTGCTGCTGGGATTTGCTTTGGTAGTCATCTGGCTGCTGTTGCTGCTGCTGACCGTCAATGCTAAAGCCCGATCCAACCTTTTCAGGCAGTGTCTCGAAGCCATCGTCCGTTCCAAAGTCTAGAGCGCCGAACTGCACGTCCAGGTAGCCAATGTTGTTCAGTGCATTGTCTCCAGGCATTTCGACGGCACTCGCCGGGATCTTGGAGGGGGGTGGCAGCTTGACGCGCGTCCTTCGCACTTGCGGTTGCTGCTGCGACTGCTCGCCAGGGCCAGCTCCTGCTCCCGCTCCTGAGGCAAACACGTTGGCATACGTGTTGGGGTACTGACTCACACCCACGCTAGTACTCGTTTGCGAGTAAGCGGCCACCGGGTTCTGCGTATAACCCGCTGGGGCCGGCTGTACCGCTGCGGAACCTGGGCTGACGCCCTGGCTGGCCAACGAGTTGAAATACTGAGATTGCTCGACCGACAAAGTAGCCGACGGCTTGATGGGCGTCGTCTGCTGCTGCTGCTGGAGTTGCTGCTGCTGTTGGGCCTGGTGCACCAGCGTGGCGGCCGCCGAGGCCGCACTTGAGAATGTGTCGGGTGACGCGGAAACAAAGGATGACGGTGTGCTGCCAGCTCCACCGCCGGCCGCGGCGCTCGCTCCCGTTCCAGCTCCTGACTGCGTACCCTGGGACTGCAGCTGGGGCGGTGGATTGCTGACCGCTGCGCTGTACTGTAGCAGCGGCGTGGTCGCCGACCCGCTCAGCGTTGCCGGAGGCGTGACTGGCACTGGCCCGCTGCTGGAGCTCTCCTCTAGAAGAGACCCTTGCTGCACCAACTGGTGTTCGAGACCGGGTGGCGCCGACAACTCGCTGCCAGCCACCGTAGAGGCACCTGTACCACTGGCTCCAGTACCGCTAACCACGCTAGCAGCGGTTTGCGTTGCCAGGTTGCTGGTGGTGAACACCTTGCTGTCCTTGAGCGAGCCCTCGTACTCCTCGTTATTCCAATCGCCCCAGGCATCGTCATGAGCCTGCTGCTGCTTCTCGGCATTCTGGGCAATGGTATTATCCCACAGCTCCACTTCGTGGTGGTCCTCGTTAGCGTTGCCACTGCGAGGTCCATAACCACCACCAGTGCCTCCGCTGCCGCGATCGCCTCGTGGACCACCGGTGCGTCCGCCCATACGGCCGCCACCACGGCCGGAGCGCGAGACGAAGCCACCGCCGCGTCCGCCTCCTCCGGGTCCGCTGCGTCCACCGCCGTTGCGCTGCCCGCGATAGTTGTCGTTAGTACGATCCTCTCCGCGGTCGCCGCCAGAGCGAGGTTCACGAGACTCGCGCTGGTTGCGCTCGTTCTCGCGTGTCTCTCTTCCGCGCCCTTTAAGTTGGAAGAGAAAATGTCTTAATATAGTTAAGGGGAAGGAATATTAAGCTCATTAACTAAAACGACTTTATAGTTATATAGAGAATGCATTACCTAGCCTCAGTTTTTGCCTATGGCCTAGAAGACACTTCAATAAAATATAGTAAATACTAGGCTTTAAAAATAAAAGGTGTAGGAAGCTTGAAATAAACTGGATATTTAAAACTTCAATTAATGCAGGATAAATAGATATAAGGCCTAGGTAATAAAAACTGTAACAACTTGAACTGAATGCAAAAAACGTTTCCGAGCCATGAACTGTAGGATTACACCAATGATCCACGAAATTTTTTGAAATCTAGTCTTTTAGTAAATGAGCGTTATTTAGAATTAGGTCTTACATCCACGACTGTCGGTGGAGCCGCGGGTGCCACCACGATTTGAGCTCCGGTTCCGTGACTTTTCCCGCTTGTCCGCGTTCGCATTGCCATCGGCCCAGTCGCCATCACCAGCGGCGCCATCGGCCGTGGTATTTGCAGCCTTGTTCTTGCGCTTCTTCTCGTACTTAGCAAAGGCGCCCTGCAACGGATTCGATTAAGTGAATGGAGGGCAGCGGATTAGTTCCGAAGCTTACCTGCGGTAGCTCCTCGATCAAAAAGTTGGCCGCTGCCTCCAGGTCGTAATCGCACTCGTTAAGGGCACAGCAGACCTCCTCCTCGGAACGTTGGGTCATGGTCAACAGGAGGGTGACCTTCTCGTTGATCTGCGGGTCCTCTGTGGTGCTATTGGTGATCTGGGCAATGCGCAACTGTTCGGTGGTAGCCTTGGGCTGGGCCTTCTCTGGCTTGTCTGTCTTGCTGGCATCCTGGCCGCCTTTCTTGCCTGCGGCCGCAGCGTGTGAGACTCCATCGTGGCCGGTTCCTCCTCCGCCGGAGTGGCTGGCATTTGACTTTTTCTGGTTGCGGGTGTGGCCGCCGCCTCCTCCGCCGCCTGAACGAGTTTGTGTGCTCATCTCTATGTACACTGTATATACAAATTAGCTGCAAGGCGCAAAAGATGGAAGATACAATATTAAAACTAGGGGATCTACAATCTGACTGATATAATTTTACGTCTGTGCTGACTGATTTGAAATGGGAATTTCGGCCAGAAGTTAACCGTACACATAAATCACTAGGATAAAATTCTAATATTTTAGAAAATAGTTCCACATTTGGTCGAATATTTAAAACCTCAAGGACCTGCATGGGTTATTTAAATACAGTAGTACAAACAAGATATACAGAGAATAAGAGTGTGTATGGTGGAAGTCGAGATTCTGAAACTGTCGTTAGATCCTGCAGTATAAAACCAGGTCATGTACACATGCTCACATACCTAGAAAAGTACTGAAAATCTGGTTATATCCAGTTTAGGTGAATCGGACGACAACGAATATCAAAACCAAGACTGAAAAACGTATGCTGCAGAATTTATGTTATATATATATTTTTTTTAAGATATTGTGGCTAATAGAACTTGGAAGCCCGACTTTAAAAAGAACCTTATGATATCTAAATCTTTTCGTTTGGGAATGGGAATATTGGTGATAAAATCCCACAGTCCAGACAGATTTTATCTACGGATGTGTGGAATTGCAAAACAAGTGGCCGAAAGAGAGCCGCGAAAGAAAAGCTGGCAAGATGAGAGTTCAATGTACATTTAATAAAAGAGAATGAAAGAACGCGAACAAACACACACTCGCACACCACCGAAACAAAGGAGTGAGCGAGGGAGGGAAGAGCGTACGCACAAACAAAGCAAGTATTCAGAAATAACAAAAATTAATGAAAACGCGGTGTTGAGGGGGGCGGAAAATGTATTGGCAAAACAGGTAACAGGGGCGGACGAGAGAGGGGGATGGCGGGGTACGTGACCGAGACGCATCGAAGCCGAAACGTCAGCCGCTTTTCCAAGGGGGGTGGTTCATGGAAAAGAGAGTGGGAGGGGCGACCCCGATACCAAGTGCATATCTGAATCACACAATTTTTGTTGTCAAAACAGTTTTATCAACTTTTGCCGTGAATAACGCCTTTCCATGCATTATTCATACACACACACGCGAGTACTGTCGCACACATTCAAAAGACCTTCACTTTGCCATCAAGTCTCGCATTTCGCACGTCCGCCAAGGTATGGAGATTTGCCCCACGGGAACCGGGAAGTGGGAACTGCAATCCGGGACCCGGAAACTACTTAATATCAATTGCAACGGCAATCGCGGGGACCAACATACACAAAAATTGATTTGTAAACTCCTTGGCCTCGCTTCGGTTTTTCGCTTTCGCTTTTGTGCTCGCTCTTCTGCATCTGCCCTATCGGCGTCTCCCTCGCACCCGCACTAGCGCGGGCGACCAGTGTTGCCAGGTGCGAGTGCAGTTGGCAAGGCTGGTAAATTAACCATCAATTGGAGCACATAACTAAGGCTAAAAATTGTCAGATGAGGGTGCTGGAAGGGGCAATCAATATCAATTACAATATTTGCACTAAAACACCTATTCCCGGCTAAATTCGGCTGGCACACATCACTAGGCCCGCTCCGGCACTTGGCAACACTGAATGCGAGGGCATTGAAACCGAATGAAGCGCACAAAGCGGAATGCAAAACCGGACAAAGTGGCGTACACTGCGCCGAAAAACGAAATGTACGCCTCGCAGTTGGCTAATCACATTCATTTCTGGGCATTACCCGAAGGAAAATGCTTTTCCAGCGGCATTTATCGGGCGAACGGGAAATATTGCTTAAATATTATCAAGTCGGCCCCAGCCATGTGCACATACTTCGACGCCATTTCTGCAACGCCACACTAGCTGACTCTTTCGCTCTTATGTAAACCAAGGGACCCAGTAATTGACGGCGACACCGCCGCTCCAGACAGCGGCAACTATTGAATTTTCAACCAAGTTTTTCGCTGTCAGGGCGCCGAGAATCGGGACGAAAACACGATGCACAGGTGCAGGGACACTTAAACTACACTTTGACACCTCATCAGGCTTTCGGCCACGTCTTTAAACCGGGTAAACAAATTTTCAAAACGGAGCCACACACAATACCTGCAAATGCGCCGAGAAACGCACTTTTAATGTGACCTTGTTGTGAAGTCAATCGATAGACATTTTATCTACGCTTGCAACCCTGCGTTCGACTTATCTAGCAGAGACTTGAACTATTCGCATTGGCTTTTTCAATCTGAATTTACCTCCGTTCTTATTAGACATTTAATAATTACAATAATACAGAAAAGCAGTTTAATTTTGTTATCATAATTAGACAAAACTGTTCAACAACACCAAGTCCGTGGAAGACTCTACCTTGGGTTCGGAGCTCTGTTTAATCAGCTAGTATATCGATTGGTCATTAAGAAATAGAAGCAATCTGTAAGTTTGCACATCCCTATCGTCAACAAAACAAACGTTTTTTGTCTGATAAAATGATAGGTAGTGAAATGTTTTAAAAGAGGGCCACGCCAGCCCTTTGGTTACTAAGGACAGATATAACTACACGCAATGAGTAAACACATATATTCCGAGTTTCTGAGTGAAGAAGATCCCCTATTGTCCGACAACGAGTTCCTCGAGGATGCATTAGCGGAGTTGCAAAACAAACTCGACAAAATCCTAGACAATCAAAATGAGATCCTGACACTGATATGCCAGGTTAATTGCAAGGCACCCACCGCTGAATTATACAACATCAAAGTGGACTATTTTCCGGTGACTGATCCCGAAGAGCTGCCCAATCTGGACGCCAATCTTTCCAAGCCGGGCAACAAATATGTGAGCTTCACACAACTTAGGCCTGCTAGTTTGGTATTTACCACTCACTTCTTTTCAGGCTAACATTATGCATGGAATTTTAAGACCAGAAGGTCGAAAGGAACCTCTGAAGAACAATTTCTCAAAGGTGTTCGAGTGCGATGTTCTCATGGCCTACAATTACGATGGTGTGAGCTCCAAACAATCCTTTAAACAGTACAAACACATTAACAAAACTATTTTTGGTGAGTAATGCTATGCTTTAGAACCCCATATTATTGAACTTGGAACTTGTTATCTAAGTTTTGCTATTCTTGCATTTTATTTTTGTCTGAAGGCACTATGTAAATACATTATACAGCCTGAGTTAAAGAGTCTTAGTAAACTTTAAACTCTTCAACTCTTCTCTCTATATTCTTTGTATATTCAGCTAAAACTATATCAGGCATTCACTTATTATCTTTATATTTTATATTTCCTTTATATTTTCCTATCGGTTCTATGGCAGCGGCATATTCAAATTTTTGTGTTGTTTAATACTTAAAAATTTGACTTTTACACCCGTTTTTAAACAATCATAAAATGTGTCGAGAACCTAGCAAGCTGATGCAGTACTCGATGACTTTGCTTTACAGGTCGATTTTCTTTCTAGTTGTTTCTCGTTCCGATAAAGTAAGGGAGCCACGAAAACTAATTTGTTTTACGAGAAGTTTATCTGGTCTTTTACTTTTTCGGAAAGATATGTAGATATTTTTCATGGATTTAAGAAATCGACCCTAAGACAAATTATGTTAAGAAGGCGGGCACAGCATTTCAATATACATTTTTAACGGAATATAGCATAAGAATATATATGTATATAACATATATTTTTGGTGGATCAGCATAAAATAAAGCTATTTAAAGCTGTTTTCGTGCTAAAAAAGTGGGATTTTCCAAAAAAGTCTGAACTAATATTTCCTATTTTGAGCTCTATAACATTATATTAATGATTACAGAGTTATATATTAAGTGATACATTAAGCTACATCGATCTCCCTAGCTCCAATTTTCCAAAAATAATTTACTTTACTTAAATTTATACCCAAACTAATCAACTTTCAAATAAGATTTATATATTATAATAATATATAAATATAACCAATTTGTTGGTATAATAATACATTTCGATCAATGTGCCACTTGTTTCAATCGGTCTGTCGCACCTGATTTTAAATTTGCGGCCTCTAGTCTCCTCTTATGATCTTTGGTTTCGGTTCTTCGAGTGCTGGTTAACATTTTTTATACTGATAAAGTTCCGGTTAAGAAAAGACCTAACATGGAAGACATAAACGGGATAGAGAATTTTATTTTATTTTTTTAGCTGGTCAACACTTTGGACATAAGTGTTAATATTCGTATTGATTTTTTTTTGGAAAACAAGACAGGCAGGCCCACTTTACAAACTCACAAATAACATAGTTAGTTTTGTACCTGATCTCGCATGTTCGGTGAAACCTGGACCTCCTTACACCATTCCTTTAAAACTGTTAGTAGCACAAAACAATTTTGTATTGAACTTACAAACTTAATGCGGTTACGGTAAACTTATTTAGGTTAATCCGACTATCAGATACTCTTTACTCCGCTACCAATTTTAAAAGGAAAAACGATGTTTTTCTGTTGACAAATTATACCCGTTAATTGTAAAATAAAATGGAATATAAGATCACAAACCGAGTTGATCTAGGCCAGGTTTGACCGTCCGTACCATAGGAGCTAAAATGTTGGGAGTAAGTATGCAGATTCTTGAACCCCCATCGCATTTTAACGACCACAAACTTCCATAACTCTAAAAACCTGTCTAGCGCTCACATTTTTGAAGGTTTTGTAATGGTGTAAATTTAAGTTGATTTTAAATGTTGGTATTCTCATCGCATCGATATTTTAAATGTTATGACTAAATAAGTTAAACAGGCATTGACATGGTCAAAAGTACCCCTACCGCCCACCGTTTCCGTCCGATAGGTGCCGTGGCGCTGGCATGTGTGGTGTGTGCCGCGCTAATAGAATTTATTATTATTATTATATATTATATTTTATTTATTATTTTATTTGAAATTTGAAACAGAGTAACGGGTATCTGATAGTCGAAGAACTCGACTATACATTTTTTTCTTTAAAAATGAATTTCAACGCCATATCTTTTAGCTACTGAGACCATTTTGACTTATTTACTTTGTGATTTAGTAACTTTTTAATTAATATTGCGATTGGTTATTACTAGAATTCTATCTATCTAATATTATCTATCTATCTTCTAGGTAGGTATTGATCACAAAAAACATAATTTCAATTTACGCTGAAACAAAATCTTCAAAACTGTCGCGCCAGACAGTATTTAGCTGCTATGGGCGTTTTCGGGAGTTAGAGTGGGCGTGGCACTTCACCGAAACAAACTAGCGCTGTGGAAAGGCCCGTAGAATCTGTGCTATATTTTAACTTTCTTGCTTTTAATGTGTCCGACATATATGTACATTTTAGTGTAATACTTGTAGGATTAATTAATTATAAAATTAAATTATAACTATAAACTAACACCTGATAAAATGTATTTGTATCTCTCTTCGTTAGGGATACTAAAAAGAGATGGATATACCGAAACGGAGTACATTGCCGATATCAGAGCTGCCTTTCATGTGTTAAAGGTCCGCTATCATAAAAGAAACCATGATTTAAGGAGGAAGATTAAACGTTCTCAAAAATGCGAACCTGAATCCGATTGGGAATAGCTGATAATATCGTAACAATTTGGATGTATTTTGTTTGCAAAGCTTTAAAGGAATACAAAGCCAAACCAGTTTTTGGTTCTGTTCTTTCCACTGTAATGAGGTTATTTTCGGCTGCGTACCGCCTCAAAACGCCAGACTTTCAAACCGTAACGTTCTGGTCGAACTCCCTTGAAAAAATATGGATTAAAGATTTCACCGCTCAATAAGGCTAAATAACATTACTTAGATATAGTATTGTAAATATATTTTTGCATCTCTCCCAGCTCATTTAGTAAGTAGTTAAGCTTATAGGCTGTAGTTACAACTAGTTTATAAGTCACATGTATATATAATGCCGAAGTAAAGAAAAATGTTCCGAGTTTAGAAAAAGACACCTGTAAAACAGTTTTTAAACCGACATTTTACTTTACATATTTAATATTTGTTTAGAAGCGAGATGAAGTATCCGATATAGCAGTATTAATTATATTTTATTTATTATCTGAAAGAATCTGATTTAATAAGAAACGTAAATCTATATATATATGGTCTATAATTTCATTAGAAAAAAAAATCAAATAAATATTGTCCTGTTGATTAGTACACATGTGAAGTTATTTTCTTGCGATTTGTATACATAGATCATTTATGTTCCGTAACATGTTTTGAAAAGGATGGGTTGATATTTCAAAAACATTTCTGAAAGAAACATTAGCTTTAAAAATAATAAATAAATAAATAATAAAGTAAAAGTAAATCATTTATATTTCATTCTTAACTTTTAGGGTTTTTCATCATCGCTAAGAGAATTGCAAGATTTTCAAGAAGCATGATGCACTAGATTCGTATTTTGCTAATGGACATTTAATCGCCAGACCCACTGAGACAAGTGATTTTAAATGAAAACGACGAGTGTCGGTGGTCTTGGTGGAAAAGCCAACTTAGCAGGGTTCAGTAAACTTGTTTCCAATTTGAAAATGGTTATGCCAGCCGGATAAAAACATTTTCCGATGGTTTAAGGCATTGCAACAACAAGCACTAGCACTCAGTTGCACAGTCGGTGTAGCGGGCCATAAATGAGAACTCAATTAGAACGTTTACATTTCTGTAAGAAACGAGTTGCTGCCGCCGCCGCTGCCACTGCTGCCACTGCTGCTGCTGCTGTAGTTGCTGTGGTACATTATTTTTTGGCCTAAATAGTAGGCCTTGAGGAATCGGAATCGCTTGAGTTGTTTTTGTTTCACCGAGCGCCACGGCAGCGACGCCGGCAGCGACGCGGGCAGCCAGCGTCGGCGGAGCTAGAGTCGATTCCGAGAGATACCGATTCCGAATCCGAATCCGCTCAGAGTGGATTCGTCTTTTGGCCCATTCGGATGTGGCCTCCGAGCGCGCGTTGTCCACTGACAGTTTTATTATTATTATTGTTGTTATTATTATTATTATTATTTGGGGCCCAAAGCTAACTCTTGCCCTTTTGAGCTGCGCGTAATTTCGATTTCGGTTTGGTTTCGAATCCATATCCATTCGGCATCTCGCGTTCGCGTTCGCGTTGTTTCGAGTGCATCCACATCCACATCCACATCCAGAGCGATTGTTGTTGTGTTCCAGTTGCCGTTTTTGTGGGAGGTTAGTTGGTTGAATAATCCGCGACTCCGCCGCAGTGTACGCAAATTGCAAATTGCAAAAGTAATGCCCCCGCTCCATGGAATCCATTGAGAAACATAGATCCAAGAACTGCAATAGTGCCCTAGTGTGTGTCTGGGAGAGCGAGAGAGCGCCCCAGTGCCTGTGTGTGTGCCGTTGTGTGTGTGTTAGAATGCACCTTGTGGTATTTTGAAATCTAAAATTGCCAAACACCCAGCGCGTTTCTTTTTTTCGAGAGCATTGCAAAAGACTCCAGCTGTGCTAATGCTAAGTAAAAACGAAAAACAACAGCAACAAAAAACTGAAAAGCTGAAAAGCTGAACAACAAAACCGAAGAACCAAAGAACTGAAAAGCTGAAAAGCTAGAGACCGAGAAAAAGAAACTGAAAATCAGAAGCCAAGGCTGCCGCTCTTTTATTTAGCGGGTATGTAATTACGAAACTCCTGCGAGCGCCTGGCTATTTCGGATATCTGTCGGATTGCGACAGATTTTCGTGGATTTTCCGCCATGGATTAATGGGCGCCAAGGGTACAGCCAGCTTTCCCACACGCACACACTAACGCTTTTATTGGCCAACATACAGTCAAACTTCCCTAGGCGGCCCCACCATCTGTCACTTTAATAACTCAAGTTGCGTGGACTTTTAAACATTTGATAATAACTTTGTAATAGAGGGAGTATCATTAGGGAAGTACAATTTTCCCCTTATTTAATTTTTAAAATCATAAATGTAACTATATTTTATAAATCTTTTTAATATGAGTTCAGTAGAACACATATTATTGTTTCCCCAAATTTTATAAATACTTTTTTTCGGGGTTCCTTATGTTATTGTGGTAGGTCAGATCACACCACCTCTTTGATTGTCTTTTTAGAATGTGTCTAGTTTAATATTTCTCAACACAATCATACCTCCTGTTGCCCTACAGACTCAAACGCATATGGAGTTACCGCGAATCCAATATCGGGGAGTTGCACTGTATTTACCTACGTCACGCCCACCTGATTTCAGTGCAATCGCGTTGGCCCAGTTTACGGGCATGCTCCAAGACAAAATACACTCCTACAAGGTCGATTGCCTATGTGTGCTGCTGTTTCTGTTGCTGTTTCTGCCTTTGCGGCTGTGGCTGGCGTTTTTCTATACCAGTTTCTAAACCTGCCGCAGCTAGTTTCAATTTCTACTGGGATTATCTGCTCCGGCTTCGGTGGCTGCGACGCCTCCGTCGCTGCTGCAGGTGGCGATGGCGATGGCGATGGCTGCAGCTCTCTGGGAGCTCATTACTTGGCCCGTCCCCATACCCGTCTGCATCCCCGTCCCCGTCCCCGTCCGCAGCCCTCTTCCCTCGTTCCTCCGCCCCATCCACCTCGTCTGTGTGATTGTGACACAGAAACCAACTAAGAAGTATGTGGAAATCTCTTGGCTGCATCGAAATCAAATCAGAAACTCGAGTTGGTCTCGCCAGTCGGCTCCGCGTTGAGTTTCCATTTCAGAACATATGCGCGTTTTCGCAACAGTTTCCAACCAGAAGATTGCTACCTGCCCATTCAAGAAGGGGTTCGGGCATTTTGAAACGCCAGTCACAAGTCACACCTGTTTCTATATCCGATATGGTTTTAAAATAGCTGAAACGGAACCCATGAAATGACGCTTTTCCCATGAAGATATTTGGTCCAAAGCTTAGTTTTTAAAACTTATTTAAAGTATACTTAATTCTGGGTAATTAATATCTTTAAATATTATCTCTATTTAGTTGATCTATGAACTAAATAGGTCGGCTTCAGTCGATCTGTAAAGTTCTCTAAAATTGTTTAACTTAGAATCAGCTTAAAGAAACTAATGACCGCCACAAAAAGTTTCACTTCTTTATAACTTTGTGTTAAGAATTGGGTTTGTGGGTTTCAACGCTTTTAGAAAGGATTTGCTATATTTTGTAAATTGATTCTCTTTATTTGTACGTTGGTGAACCACAACATAGAATGTTAAGTATGTGTTTAATAGAAGGAAAGATCAATTTAAAAATGTATTTCATATAGTTTTTTATGACCTTTAAAACTTTTACATTTGCATTTTTGTTACCAAGAACTATAAGTCAACTTATGAGTCAAAGACTTCCATAGTATGAAGTAACATATTGTGAAGAAAATCTGATAAGCACCGCGTTAAGTATTTATCGTTAACATATTAAGAAAGTGCATTTAAAAAGGCTTTACTGTGGGTGTTTAACTTCGGTTCCTCCCCCCTTATCGATCCCAAATTTGTCTCTTGCAATGGGATGCTTGAATGATGCTCTGCATCCCTGGCTCATTCCCCAAATGCAGCACACGCACACAGTGACGGGCGGACAACCCTCTTTCCCACCGCCCAACGCCTGCCACCAACAAACCACCACCCACCACCCACCACCCTTGCTACCCACACACCCACACAGCCACACTGCAGTGTGCTCAATTCGGATGTGTGTGCCTGTGCGGCTGTGTGTGCGAGTGCATCTCCCCCACAGCAACGGCAAACTGCACTGCAAACTGCAGACTGCACGAACTGTGGTGCAATAAACGACGAGCGAACGGAACGGAACGCATATTGCGTTGGCGGCGATAGCTTTAGCTTGGATGTTGTTGGTGCTGCTGCTGGTGCTGCTGCTCCCTCACCGCCTCCATCCCACTCCCCACTCCCCCGTCCCCCGTCCCCTGGCCTCCCCCGCACCCCCCTCGATGATGACAGCCGAGGTCGTAGGCAAAGACGACGGCATACGCTCGAGTAACTGGCCCACCACTACAAGCAGCCAAACCTGTTGACCTAATTTCAAATTCTGCTGCGTCTTGTTGTTGCTGCTGCGGCTGATCTGTGTCTCTGTGCCATCGGTTGAGTTGTGTGTGCTCTCGTGTGCTTGTGTGCGAGAGTGAGTGGCGGCTCTCTGGGCACCGCATCGGTGTAGTGGTGTTTTGTGCCGGAGAGCCAGCGATTGGCAAATCTTCGCCAGTGGTGTTTGGCGCCAAGGGGGATCCACATCCACATCCACTTCATGGGAGAATAACCCACCAAAAAAGGCCTTCAAATTCAAGCATTCCCCCAAACGAAGATCTTCAAACAGTAGTTGACTGGGAAAATATATGTATATGATTTTTGTTTATAACTAAAGCTTAAATGTTTGACGCTTTCCAAAGATTTGAGTTAAAAAGATTATAGTTCTCCAAAAAATGATTAGGGATGATCACGATTCGGTGATTCGATTTTTCCAGCTAACAGATGAATTTCATGTTTGAATGGGTGTCTTGCTTAACCTTTCAAGACATTTTTAAAACGATTTTAAGGAAGAACATTCCAGTTTTTCAGAAGAAGTAGTATTTTAAGTTGGTACTCCATATACGTTAAATCTTAATTATTGTGTGTAGCTAATCGAAGTGCATAAATTGGTTTTAAAATACTTAACTACATCGAATTTTCAATTAATAAATGGTCATAATCATAATTTTTAAACTATTATTAGTTCTTAACGTTTTCTGATTTGGTTTTGATGTAGTCAAACCTTCTTAATTGGCACAAATTTTTACTTCTAAAAAAGGTTTAAAGTTTTAATCTTTAAAAAGCTTAATATTTGATTGTATGGCAAGAAATACTTAATGGGGTAATAAATATAAAATAAAATGTAGTGCCCTCCAGTTAAGGGAATTGTTATCTTGATGACGAGTTATTTTCAAATAGTTCCCTCACAAAAATTGTAACTTTAAGGAATGCTTGCTTAAC